AATGATCCATTTATAATGGAAATTCTCTAACTGCCGCCAAAAGATACTTTCTTAAATCAGTCCTTAACACAATTCTTACTATTCTCTATGTTGTTGTTGTTGTTATAGATCAATAGAAAAAAATATAAATCAGCAGCCACTTAGCACATTCTGCTTTTGATCCAAGAGACAAGAAAAGCCCAAATATGATGCCTGGGAGTCACCAGGAGACACTGAAGGCCATGTCTAAGGAACAAAGGTCAAGTTGCATGGAGCCCAAAGATCTGAAACCTTTTCTAATAGGCATCTTTCTGACACAAAGGGGTTGCTAACTGCCTGCCATTGTATGTACCAAAGGTCTACTTGCCCTAGAAAGTTTTCAAGGCTGATTAATCTCCTCTGGCACCTAGCTTCCCTCTTCAATGTTGTTATTGTCAAGTCAGTTCCAACTATAGCTACCCTGTATAAGGTTTCTGAGGAAAAGCTGGTGAGTTTGAAACTCCAACCTTGAGGTTCAAACCGACCTTGCAGTCCAGCCCATTAACCTACAGCACCACACAATAAGAGACCTAACTTAACATTTCATAACGTTTGAAGAATAAAGGTAATATAAAATGGAATAAAGGATTAAAGTAAGGCCAAAATGTACTCAATTGTCCAAAGGTAAATTATCCTTCATGCCTAATGAAGTTCTAGAACAGATTATAATATAAATTGCTTGGAAGCCCTTAGAAACATAACTAGTAATCATTAGGACCTAACACAGGGTCATTCACATATTAAATAACTATTTAATGTACAGAGAGGAAAACTCAGCAAAATTCCCTACCTGGAGCATGAAACCTCCCACATCAACATATTCTTTCTAGTGGAAAGCTGGTTCCAACAGACGATTATCATCTGTTGTCTGTAATTGGTAGTGGTGGTGGTGGTAGTGTGCTGCTGAGTTAGTTTTGACTCATAGTGACCGTGCATAGGCTTTCCAAGGCTGTCAATCTTTGGGGGAGCAGAAACTCTCATCTTTCTCCCATAGAGCGGCTGGTATGCTGGCCTGGCAGTTAGCAGCCCAACTCATGACCCACAATGCTACCAGTCCTCCTGTTGTCTATAAGTCGGGTACTGCAAATCTGTATCCACTTCCCAGATCAATATGCATAACTGAAACAATGTAAGAGAATAAGTAATGTCTGCAAACCTCTATTTTATCAAATACCATGTCAAAAATCCTCTATTTTGAACTTATGATGGGTTACTTTTAAATGTTTCAATTTAAAAATCAGAAATTATGATCCAAAACAAGGCAAAAGAAATTTATGAGTTTGATATCAATTAGTTAGACAGGGGTAAAGTTAGTATTTACACCAAATTTACACCTGAAAGCAAAGATAGGAGAAATGTAATTTTTGGATGAGAGATAAAATATTTTAAAAACTTAGCAGGCTTAACTACTAAATAAAAATAGGACAAGTAGAATACAAATCTGGTAAACATAAACAAACATATAAAGTTCTGTTCTCACGTCTTAAAAGTCAGCAGTACAAGAGAGAAGTAGCTTAAAATCAAATTGTGAGCAAAAACTTAGGAGTAGTTAGTTGACTACAAGTACACACGCCTCAGCAGTGTGTCTCTAACTAATAGAGACAACAATGCAGTTGTAGGATACACAATGACCTGGAAAAAAAAAAAAAAAAAAAAGGAGGTGGGGCTGCTTTCATTCAGACCTGGAAAACTGTACAGTTTGGCGTACTACAAAGAAGAACACAGTGAAAATATTAGACAGAACAGCAAACAATAGCCAGGATGATGAGGAGTCAGAGAAATAGTTGGAAGCACCAGAGATACTTAACCTAAAAAATATTTAAATAACAGATGATAGCTATGTTGAAGGGAGTCCTGACATGGCATTGTAGGGTAAGCATTGGACAACTAAAGAAAGGATGGCTATTCAAACCCACCAGCCACTCCTCAAAAACCTTATATAGGGTTGCTGTGAGTCAGAGCTGATTGAAAGCACACAACAACAACAAACTATGTTCAAATGTTTGAAAGGCAGTCATGGTCTAGGAATTAGTTTGTGCTACGTGGCTCCAGAGGCAAAGTCAGGACCAGTGGTAAATGTTTAAAGGAACAGATTTCAGCTACCTATTACTCACTGCCATTGAGTCAAGCGCAATTCTCAGGGGTCCTACATAGAATTACGAAGACTAAATCTTTACAATAACAGACAGCCACATCTTTCTCCTTCAGAGTGGCTAGTGTATTTGAACTGCTGACCTTGTGGTTAGCAGCCCGATGCCTAATCCACAGCACCACCAGAGCTCCTTTCACTTACCTATTGTTGTTGTTGTTGAGTGCCGTCTAGTCGATTCCCACCCATAGCAACCCAGTACAGGATTTCCAAGGAGTGACTGGTGACCTTCAACCACTCACCTTACGATTCAAACGACTTTGCAGTCCAACGCATTAACCCACAGCGCCACACTCCTCACTTAACCTATTAAATACATGTATTTCTTTACATTATAACTGTCAGAATCAGGGAAAAAGAAACTGTGATTATATGAACATTTGTCAGAGAAAATTTAAAGAGAGTTTTGTAATGATCACCTAAGACTCTTCTGATGCTGAGGTACAAAGTCAATCAATCAATGATATTAAAGTGGTGGGAGTGGTGAGCCGTGGAGTTGGTTCCGATTTGTTGCAAACCTATACAGGGTTTCTGAGGTTGTAAATCTTTACGGGAGCAGAAAACCTCATCTTTCTCCTGCGGAACAGCTGGTAATTTCGAACTGCTCACCTTGAGGTTAGCAGCCTGACTCGTAACCACTACGTTTCCAGAGCTCCTTAAAGTAGATAATGAAAATGATAGCCATTATCATTTGTTTTTATATCACACTGAGCATCTAATGAATGTAGCTTTTCAATTTCTATGTAATATGACAACTTACTACTCAGAGTTGTTGTTAAGTGTCATTGAGTCGGTTCCAACCCACAGGAGCCCTGTATAGGGTTTCCAAGGAGAGGCTGGTGAGCTTGAACTGCCAACCTTGAGGCTCAAATTGACTTTGTATTCCAGTGCATTAACCCACAGTGCCATACCAGGACTCTTCATTGTATTTATTACTAATACACTAAGCAATACCATCAGTGAAAACTACCAACAAAATATAATTGTTGTTGTTGTTGTCAGATGCCATCGAGTCAGAACCGACTCATAGCAACCCCACGCACAGCAGAATGAAACAATGTCTGATCCTGGGCCAACCTCACTACCGTTGCCACACTTGAGTCCATCAATGCTGCCACCTAGCCGATCCATCTCGTTGGGGGTCTTCCTCTTTTTCTCCAACCCTCCATCTTACCAAGCATGATATCCTTCTCCAGCAACTGTTCCCTCCTGACAATATGTCCAAAGTAAGGAAGACGAACTTTAGCCATCTTGGCCTCTAAGGAGCACTCTGGCTGCACTTCTTCCAAAACAGTTCTATTGGTTCTTTTGGCAGTCCATGGCACCTTCAGTGTTCTCCTCCAACACCACAACTCAAAGGCATCAATTCATCTACGGTCTTCCTTATTCACTGTCCAGCTTTCACTTGCATATGAGGTGATTGAAAATACCATGACTTGGGTCAGGCGCACCTTAGTCCTCAAGCTGACATCTCTGCTCTTCAACAATTTAAAAAGTTCCTGTGCAGCAGATTTGCCTAATGCAATATGTCATCTGATCTCGACTGCTGCTTCCGCAAGTGTTGATAGTTGATCCAAAAAGAATGAAGTCCTTGACAACTTCAATCTTTTCTCCGTTGATAAGAATGTTGTTTATTAGTCCAGTGGTGAGGATTTTTGTTTTCTTGACATTGAGATGTAATCCATACCAAAGGCTGTGTTCATCAGTAAATGTTTTAAGTCCTCTTCACTTTCAGCAAGCAAGGTTGTATCATCTGCATATCTCAGGTTGTTAATTAGTCTTCCTCCAATCCTGATGCCACATTTTTCTTCATAGAACCCAGCTTCTCAGATTATTTGCTCAGCATACAAGTTGAATAAGTATGGTGAAAGAACACAACCTTGTCGCACACCTTTCCCAATTTTAAAACATTCAGTGTTCCCATGCTCTGTTCGAACAACTGCTTCTTGGTCCAGGTACAGATTCTTCATGAGTACAATTAAGTGTTCTGGAATACTCATACTTCGCAATGTTGTCCATAGCGTGTCATGATCCACACAATCGAAAGCCTTTGCGTTATCAATAAAGCATAGGTAAACATCTTTCTGATATTCTCTGCTTTCAGCCAAGATCCATCGGACATCAGCAATGACATCCCTCGTTCCACGGCCACTTCTGAATCCGGCTTGAACCTCTGGAAGTTCTCTGTCAATGTATGATTGTACCCGTTTCTGTACTACCTTTAGCAAAACTTTACTCTCTTGAGATATCAAAGAGATTGTCCGATGATTTCTTCATTCCATTAGGTCACCTCTCTTTGGAATGGGTACAAATATGGATCTCTTCCAATCAGTTGGCCAGATAGTTGTCTTCCAAATATCTTGGCAGAGATGAGTGAGTGCCTCCTCTGCCACCTCACTTTCTTGAAAGATTTCAAATTTTATTCCATCAATTCCTGGTGCCTTGTTCTTTGCCAATATAATTAGTAGTGGATAATTCATTGAAAAAATAATTCAATAAGGTTTTAAAATTTTTAATTAATTCGTTTTTTGTACACCTCGGACATCTTTATTTAACTCCTGTTAAGCCATGAATTTCTAGGGAATAGGTTCTAGCAGCTCAGGCTCCTTTCCATTGGTTCTCACAAAGTGCGCCTCTCTCGGGGGAGCAGGCTGGCACTAGTTAGCTGAACCCAGGTACCATTCTCTTTGGCTTCCTTCTTTTTCTGATCATTTTCCTTCACTCACTTCAGGAAGCTGTCTCGGCTCTTAGAGTGCTTAATATACTCAATGTGCACATTAATTCTATTGGCAAGAATCTTGCCCTTGACTTGCTTGTTCACAACAATGCTGACAGCATGCTGGGTCACACTGTAGACTCTTCTGGTTTTGCCGTGGTAACATTTGTGGGGCATGCCTTTTTGAACTGTGCCCATTCCTTTGATGTCCACATTCTTGTAGATTCAGATGTATGTGGCCAAAGGAACGACCCCATGCTTTCTGAAAGGCCTGGAGAACATATAGTGGGTACCTCGCCTCTTTCCCTTTGTGTTCGTCATCTTGGGGGATTACTGCAAAATGGCGGCTCTGGCCTAAAGGCAAATTTTTAAAATATTTTTCACCATTTGCTATGCCCAAATTCATTTTTTTTTTTTCTTAACTATCAGGAAAAATCCCTGCTTTAGTTAAAGAGATATGTCCTCAACACAAAACAGGAGCTATAAACATATATTATGCTGTATGCTTTGGGCACAGTAAAAGAAGTTTTAAAATGTAGATCTCAGTAAACGAAATAAATGATTCATGTATATATGTTAAAACTTAGCAGGCTGAACTTTTAATTGCAGTTTTGTGAGAGATCACAGTCATAAGGCCCAGAAAAACCATGCTGGAATTCTTGACCCACAAAACTGTGAAAGAAATTATGTTTGTTGTTTTAAACTGCTACGTTTTAGGGGTAATTTTTGCACAGAAATAGGTAACTAACCTAGATTTTAGGTAAAGGTTAGTGTAGCATGTATCATTACAATTTAAAACATTTACTAGACAACTGGAAGGAATCGGTTCTGCTTCACTGCCTTTCATGCTGCATGTCATTGATGAAGATGGCATTGGATAGGAGCTCAAGTAAGGTTGTTGTTGTTAAGTGTCTTCAAGTTGGTTCTGACCCATAGCCACCCTGTACAGGGTTTCCAAGGAGCGACTGGTGAGCTTGAACCACCGACCTTGCGTTGAAACAGACTTTATATTCAAACCAACTTTGCAGTCCAGCGCATTAACCCACAATGCCAGACCAGCAGGGGTGGGGAATGTCCTCGAAATCATTTCATCCGGCACTGCCAATGCAACCACAGGTGGGACTAAAAATTCAATAAATCTAGGAGCTTTAGTCATAGCAAAATAAATTTATATTAAGTAAATAAGGAGCTCTGGTAGAGTAGTGGTTACGAATCAGGCTGTGAATCGCAAGATCGACAGTTCGAAACTACCAGCTGTTCCGTGGGAGAAAGATGAGGGTTTCTGCTCCCGTAAAGATTTACAGCCTCAGAAACCCTGTACAGGGTCACTATGAGTCAAACCGACTCCAGGACACATAACAACAACAACAATGTTATAAATATGCAAATGGCCCTTGGCAGAAAAAAGATTCCCCTGCTCCTAGTGTGGCGCTGTAGGATTAGCACTAGACTGCAAACCACAATGTCAGTGGTTCAAATGCACCAACTGTTCCTCAGAAACCCTATAGAGGGTCTCCATGAGTTGCAGCCAATTCCATGGCACTTAACAACAATAAAATAACCCCTGATAAGTGGACAAGAACTTTTCAAACCTGTTTGCAATACATCAGCCAACATCTCATTGGCTAAAGCAAATCATATGGCCACATCCAGAGTAGAGTAAAAGGCCAATGGAAAGTTACAATGCAAAGGACATGGATTTAGAAAGACATGAAAAATGGGGTTCATTAAAGCCATCAATCCATTACACTAACATTCATTAAGCTCTTACTATGTCAGACACTAATACTTTAATATACTAGTTCATATAATTCTCTCAACTACCTTACGAGGTTGTTAAGAGCCATTGAGTCAGTTCCAACTTCTAGCAACTCTATATAGGGTTTCTGAGGAGCTGATGGTGGAGTCAAACCACCAACCTTGCAATTTACAGTCCAGTGTTTATCCTACAGCACCACACTAGGACATGTTTTTGTTAAGTGCCATCAAGTCAGTTCCAACTCATAGCGACCATGTATAGTGTTTCTGAGGAGTGGCTGGCGAGTTTGAACCTCAGATCTTGCAAATCAAACTGACCTTGCAGTCCAGTGTTTATCCTACTGCGCCACATCAGCAATATTATCACCACCTATTTTACAGATGAGAAAACTATATATAGTAAAGAGAGGTTAAACATCTGATACCACTGAATGTCTGAGCTTGGATTTATACCAGGCTAGTCAGGTTCCATTGTTGGAAATGCTGGTGCCTGGCCACAGCTCCCCAGGCTGGCTGAGCGCACTGCTTTCTGGCTTTGGGTCCTCTCTGTCCTCTGTACCCTGGCACCTGCGGTGGAGGTTCCTGGGGCCCCCTGAGACAATTAGCCTCGCACTCTGTGTTCTGACCACATCAGTATTATTTGACATGTCATAGGGAAAAAACTACTCGGACTTTAAATGAAGATTCAGGGGGTTATTTGGCATTTAGAAAGACATCCAGATAGGACTGGCATAGGAATACATATGCAGTGTAACAATTTGTGAACATTCACGTGAGGTAGTGCAAGATACATGTCATCTGGTGGCAAAACTGCTACAGGAGTAAAGGACTCTCACAGAGCAAAGGAGCTTTAGGATAAGCTCTAGATTGCAAGCCACAAGGTTGTAGGTTCAAGCCAACCAGCCACTCCATGAAACAAAAATGAATTCTCTGCTCCTGCAAAGATTTACAACCTTGAAAATCCTATACAGGCTCGCTGTGAGTCAGAACTGACTCAAGGACACTTAACAAGTCAGGTTCCAAGGTGCAATGGTGGTGCTGTAGGATAAGCACTGGATTGCTAACAACAACGTCAGCAGTTCAAATGCATTAGCTGCTCCAAAGAAGAAAGATGAGACTTTCTGCTTTGGTAAAGGCCTCAGAAACCCTTTTATAGGTCGTTATGAGGCAGAATGACTCCATGGCAATGAGTTTGGAGTCTGAGCCAGGTTCCAAAGTCTGTGTTCTTAAATCACTATGTTACCCACCTTCCCAAATAGAAAGAACATGAATAATCTTCTAAGTCAAACAGACATAATTTCAAATCTTTGGTTATGAAATGTGTTTGTTATGTAACCTTGGACAAATGACTTAATCTTTCTAAGCCTCAATGAGTCAAATAAAAATAATAATAACTACCTTTAGGGTGATTGTGAGCAGCAAATTAGATTTAATTAGATATGCATAAGAAGTACACAATAAATAATAGTTACTTCCATCTCTTTATTATCTGCTTGGATAACTTCTTCATGGGGCTTGTGTGGAAAATGTTATTACAGACTGGATATATTTTGATAAAGTAGATTCTTCTTTAAAGTTAAACTTAAGTTGTCTTGAAGTCCTAAATTTTGTTTTAAATAATTTTTACAAATAAAAAATGTGTGTATACACACACACATATCTGCTACTTTAATATAAGTTTGGGGGGAAATTCGAATAAAATATTCACTTTATAATGTTCAATCTATATTTATAGGGCATAAAATGAAAGTAACCTGCCTCCTTTTTTATAGAGGAAATTTTCTGGCTGGTCATGACCTCAACAAACCTTTCATGCATCACTCCCAAAGGCATTAAAAGTTATCCTGTGACTACCTGCTCCTTATTAGACTATGACATTTTAAAGTTATATTTTGAGGGAGCCAGAGAGTTACTTATTGCTGCCAACAATTAAGGCATGGGTCAGGAATCCTGAGAAATACAAAGGTGGTTTTAGAGGGGAAATGATGCAAAAAATTATAAGACAGCATTTGATATTTTGATGGTACTTTAATAAATAAGGGCTATGTGAGGTGTTTGGTTTTTTTTTTCTTATGGGTTTTATAGCTTTGTCGTTTTTATATTTTATTTTATTGTAGTAAGATTTATTTGTTGTTAAGCACTGTCAAGTCAATTCCAACACACAGTGACCCTGTACAGGGCTTCTAAGGAGCAGCTAGTGGGGACAGAACTAGAAAGAAACTCAACAAAGACACAGAAGAACTAAACAATATGATCATCAAATTGATCTCATGGACTTATATGGACCACTCAACCCAACAACAGCACAATATAAATTCTTTTCCAGTGTACATGGAACATTCTCCAGAATAGGCCATATATCAGACCACAAAGCTAACCTCAATAAATTTAAAAACACCAAAATTCTACAAAGCATCTTTTCAGATCACAATGCTATTAAATTGTTGTTGTTAAGTGTCATCGAGCAGGTTCCAACTCATAGTGACCTTGTATAGGGTTTCCAAGGAGCAGCTGGTAGGTTTGAATCATTGACCTTGTAGTTCAAACCAACCATGTGGTCCAATGCTTACCCTATAGTGCCACACCAGGACTTCACTATAAAATTAGAAAATAATAAAAAGGAAGACCAAAAGGGGGGAAAAAATCAAATACATGGAAACTGAATAACATCCTGATGAAAAGCTACTGGTTAATACAACAAATGAAAAATGATATTTTAAAAATTCATTGAATCAAACAAGAATGAAAACATAACACTCCAAAACTTTTTGAGACATAGCAAAAGCAGTGCTCAGAGGGTAATGTACAGCAATAAATGCACATATCCGAAAAGAAGAAAGAACAAAAAACAACCATCAACTGAACATCTCCAACAATAAGAAAAAGAGCATCAAAGTAAGTCTACTTCCACCAAAAGACAAGAAATAATAAAGGTTAGAACAAAAATAAATTAAATAGAAAACAGAAAAACAACAGAAAGAATTAGCAAGAAAAGAAGTTGGTTCTTTTAAAGGATTAATAAAATTGACAAACCATTGGCAAATCTAACAAAAGAAAAGAAGGAAAAGATATAAATAACAAATCAGAAATTATATGATGTCACAAATATAGGAAAAGATGGAATAATCCCAAATTCATTTTATGAAGCAAGTATAACTCTGATACCAAACCAGACAAAAATATCACTATAAATGAAAAACATACACAAATATCCCTAATGAGTATAGATGTAAAAATTCTCAACAATAGAATCAAACAATATAAAAAAAAAATAAATAAATACATTATGACCAATTGGGATTCATACCAGTTATGCAGGGATGGTTAAATATTAGAAAAACAATATAATCCACCACATAAATAAAATAAAGGAAAACATCACAGGTTCAAATCAATTGATATACAAAACACATTTAATAAAATCTAGTGCTCATTCCTGATAAAAACACTCAACAAAATAAGAATAGAAGGAAAATTTCTCAACATAATTAAAGACATATATAAAAAAAACCAACAAGGAGCTCTGCTAGAATAGTGGTTACAAGTTGAGCTGCTAACCTCAAGGTCAGCAGTTCGAAACTACCAGATGTTTCATG